TTTTTTTTTTTTTTAAGACAGCACAAAAGCACTGTCCGTGAAAGCAAAAGCAAAACCCAATCTTCCTTCTTCGCTGGGTTGTGGGCCAGCTCTTTGGGGGTGACATCCACTAGTCCTATAATTCATACAGATTCCAGGAAGGTGAAGGTTTGAGATGTGAAGCACTCAGCTACTCAGACACTGCTGTCCATGCAAACTGCACTCACCTCTGCACTACATCTGGAACAGGTGGTGGATGGGCCACACATTGCTCAGGTCCATGGCATAGGATATGCAGGTAAGCAAGAACTGCTGGGGTTGTCCCACTTTGGTTGCCCCTTCTCCACAACCTTAGGCTGGGCATACTTGGTTGGGCCAAGTCTTCCTGTGTGCTGGTCAGGGCATTCAGGGCTGCCCTTGGGCTGCAGCTCCTCATCTTCTGGCAGGGAGACCACATGCGCCAAGGGTGATTCCATCTTCTGAGACAACACTCAGGGTAGAATGGGCCCACTCCTGTGCTCTCTTCTGGATTCCAGTCCCTTGGGTTTCCTGTTGTTCAGCTTTCTGCACTGTCAGGCCCTGGTGTGAGTCTTCCCTGGTGGGTCGGTGCCTCCCTCGGCTTTAACCTCAGTGGTGGCCAGTTCACAGCCTCCCACTGACCTTTGGCCACATTCTTTTTTCTGTGTCATGACTCTCAAACTCCAGGATTTCTGGGCTCCTCATAGTATTAAGGATTACTGAAAAATAGCTCATGAAGATACGATTGCGTCTGCTGGAGGCTGATGGTGAACTGGAAACTGCAGAAAGTCTCTGATCTATGTGCTTTTCAATTTCTATAGCATAAACGCTTCCATGATGGCACATCCTGAGCTACCAATAAGTGCAAAGGGACACTATTATTTTGGGTTCCCTCCCACCTTGCACTTACAGTCACATAGGTAGCCTCAGGAGAACAACTGACAAGGAATCATAAATCATGAGTTTTGAGCATTGTGTCTGATTTAAAATTTACACTTCACTCAGACCTTGGTCATAACTGTATTTAAAAATTATCTCAACAAAGGGGATGAATCTCAGTTCTCTGGGGTGTCCAGATTCCCAGTGCAGGTGACTCAGTCAGGCTTAGCCCCACCTGAGAGTTCTCAGGATGCAATTCTGGCTAATGGATGACTGCCTGTGGGTAGGAACTTCACTGTGCCTATCAGAAACACAATACAGAACATGATAAAGCCGATTCGCCAGAACTCCTGAGGGAAGGAGAGAAAGCAGGAATAGCTCTACGCAGGGTTCTATAGTCTTACCCTGCAAACTAAGGTTATACAATTTTGAATCATTTGCTCATCCTGGTGAGTCCACTGTTAATGAATCATAAGAGTTTCTAGTTTCCCTGTATGAGAGAGTCCAAACTCCTTAGCACTGTTGGCAAGACCTTGAGAGTTTTTGTTTGTTTGTTTGTTTTGGGTTGTGTTGCAATTCTTGTCCTTTAAAAAAAGAAAGGTTTTATTTTATTTCATATTCTACATATACATATGCATATGTACATACATACATACAAAATGTATATACATAATACATAGTTGGGACTGGGGTTGTGGATGGCTGTGAACCACCATCTGGGTGCTGGAGACTGGACCCATGGTCTCTACAAGAACAGCCAGAGCTTTTAGCTGTTGAGCCATTGCTGCAGCCTCCCCTTTTGAGATGGGGTTTAGATAGGTTGATTGTTTAGGTTGGGTCTTTAGTCTCCCTGCTTCAGCCTCTCAAGTTGGTAGGTTACAGGTGCATCCCACCCTCCTGATTCATGTTGACATCTAATTACCACTACATTATTTGAGATTTGATTTGAGGGAATTTCAGTGTGCTGATAAGAATGTAAATTCTACAGCTGTTATATGAGTAAGCTTTTAAACATTATAATTGATCTTTTATCATTCTACAGTGATCTTTCTTTCTCTTTTTACAGTAACAAAACAAAGCAAAGGTACGTCCCCATGGAGAAACTGGCATTTGACTGTATGTGGAGAGCTCCTTGGCTGACCAGTTCAGCTTAGTGTCTTCTGACTCTGCAATGTGTGAAAGGGAAATGAAATCTGTAGAAGCTATAATTTGAGACCCAACATTTTGTGGGCAAGCAATCTGAAGAGGGTATTCTGTGGAGATGTTGGGAACCCCAGTGATCACATGGCCTCTGGGATGATCATTTGACAGCTCTGAGTGTGATGGATAGGAAGGTAGGTGTAACAAATGCATTTTTAATTTAGGGGGCTCTTCGATCTAAAGTGGGTTTAGCGGGATGTAACCACAATGTGGATGGAAGAGTATCCTAACACAATCCAAGAATGTAGTCCTGTGAGAATTCTGAGTGCTGGGGCTGGAGATAAGGCTCGGTGGTTAAGAGTACTGGCTGCTCTTCCAGAGGACATGGGTTCAATTCCCAGCACCCACAAGGCAGCTCACAACCGTCTGTAATTCCAGCTCCAGGGGAATTGACACCCATGACAAAACAACAACGCACATAAAATTAAAAAAGAAAAAATGGAAAAGAGAAGAAACATTCTAAAGAAAGAAAAACAATTCTGAGTACCTGTGAGAAAACTTCCAAGAAAATAAAAGTCTCGTGACCTCAGTTTCTCCAAAACACCGAATTGTTCTTGGAGGATTATTCTTCTACACCCCTCCCAGGTGTATCATATAGGAGTGAGTTTTCTTCAGATTATTCATTCTAACTGGCTATTAGTACTTATTTATACACCTCTATAGAAATTCATGGGGTTTTTTCCATGTGCAGCCTGTTATTGTGATTATATTCAGTTTGAACTCATGAGAGCTTTACTCACATGATCTTTCTTAACGCTCAAAGTGGATATTGCCTGATGTTCTTAATAAAGTTGGCTGTTGTGTGAGACTTTATTCCCCCTTTTTAGGCTCCATTCTCCCAGGTTCCACTACCTTTAGATCGGTAAACTGAGGCACATCTGTATTTCATGATAGCACTACTTCACCTGTCTGATTTCCATAAGAACAACTGTTCTGTTGAGGTGACTCCCACTCATACCTAGAGATGTTCAACAGTGCATTTATATTTTTACAAGTTGTTCTGGATGTAAGTATGTCTAAACACAGTGCATACTTTCCCCTCTCCTTCAATAGGCTCTGCCCAGGCTCTCAGATTTGATTGCACATTGTATTCACCCAAGAGCACCAGACTCACTCCCAAGATTTTCTGACAAAGGCTCCTTGAATCCAGTAGCATGGACACTGCAAATTTTCAATGCTCTGATGTGTCTAGAATGGCAGAGGTGATGGGCACACTGAAAAAGAATAGAATAATGATAACATGACAATGTTCCTCTTTTCACCTTTGAGGGTACATGATTTTTGAGACCCTGTCAGTGACTGACCCTAGGAAGGCATGACAAGTGCAGAAAGGCAGTCACTATGCCTAGGTTGAGAGTAGGGGACAGACACTTAAGTGTTCAGGAATAGACTCTGATGTATTATCACAGGGTGTACCCACTGTTCGAGCCTAAAATCCATCTGATGAGAAAACCAGGAGTAAACACTTAGGTAAATAAATGCTGCTTCTCATATATTTAAGGACAGTGATCATTTTAAAATGAAAATAAGAAGGCAGCTATGATAGTGAACAATTTGTCCTGTGAGTTATTGTCCTCTGTTAAAGACTCAACTGTTGGAAAGACATCATCACTATCTACCTTTTTGATATGTATATTATTTTAACTTATGTGTATGTGTTTTGTGTACATGTTCATGCTGGTGAAAACAAGGATAGAAAAGGATACAACAAGGATGTTTTATCATCTGGAACTTGGATTTTCAGACACTGTAGGCTTTCCAACGTGGATTCTGGGAACCTTATTTTGTTTCTCTGCAAATGTAGCAAGTGTTTAGCCAGAGAATTTTCTCTTTACTACCACCACCTGCCACATCAAAGACCTTTCCAGTGCCTACTTTTGTCATTGGGAAAAAGAGAGAAATAAAAGATCTCTCTGGTCGATGTTCCAAGTGATGTCTAAGTGTCTTCAGAGGTGTCTGCACAGATGGATCCAAAGAAGTCCTTCAATTCCATGAGCTCGGCTTGTTAGTACAGGAGGGAACTCTCAGTCTGGATAACCTTGATCCACTTTATTATGATAAAAAAAAAGAAAAGAAAACAGACAAATTGACATAATGGATGAATAACAGCCATTAATATGGAGTGTTTTCAGTTATACACTGCTCTGTGTGACTTATGTACATTTTAGAAAGCATTACTATACAGAGGTGAATGAAGGTGGCTGTGAGTGATGTTTGTAGAAAAGTTACAGTTCCTTGTACCCTTGTGGATCATCTGACCCTGAAACCCCAGGGATGGGAATGTCTGTTCAGATTCCTTGTACAGTTTAGCGTTGCCACAGCCCACTGTGAGGAACCTTTGCATTCCCAACATAACTCTCCCTTCGTGGACACTAAATCCCGGTAGTATTTACAGTGTAGTACAGTGTAGTAATACAAAAATTACACACTCACTGTGGCTTCAATGAGAAGAATTGTAATGTGTTGCCCTAGGTGCTTCAAAAACCTCTGACACTGGATGAAAAGCAATTAGTATCTTGTTTTCTTTTGAGAAAAAAAAAAAAAAAAAAACAAAACCAAAAATAACAACAAAAAACAAACAAACATAAACCGAAGTGCTTGTTTGGCTCCTCAGGGTTATGGTCAAGTTTCTAACGACAGCTTACCTTGAATTCTAGGACTTCCTAGAGTCTAGGTGACAATGATCTTCAGTACTGGCCTTAACCCCTGACGACAAGAAGGCTACAAGTTGTAGTCTTCAGATGGCAAATAATGGAGGGAGTCTTCTAAGGGATGTGGTCCCCTCCCCAAGGTAGTCTTCTTTTTCTAAGCTCCCTAATCCTCTTTACAGATTCAGGAGGTCCCAGACCAGCACTCCAGCCAAGGTGTCGCCACCAGCAGGCAGCAACTGTGAAACAGATAGTGGCTGACTTCCATCCCTGGGAGGTCCATTCTTAGACCACTGGGGATGAACCTCCCCTCTTGAGGCAATTCCAGATGAAAATCCCCAGGGCCAGCAGGGTGATGCACATGGTAGATGAAGCCACCAGCAAACCGATGACAGCTGGTGCATGTGGGGGGTAATCCTTGGTCACCAGCTGCCCCTGGGAGAAGAGATTGAGCATCAGGGGAAGGTCCCTCCTATCAAGTCCAAGAGAACTGTTCACCCAAGCCTGGTGTACAGTGTGGCACACCAAAGGATACTGGTACTTCTAGGGAAAGGCCCACTGTGATGCTTTGGGCATCTCTTGCTCTCTCCATGCATCATGGTTAAAAACTCACAGCCCACTTCTGCTGTGCTAAATTGAGCATCTGTGAAATACTCACATGGAGCCTTCTCACAGCACAGCAATAGTCCCCTGTGTTCTGAGTGACTGTGTGGTCTCTGCCTTATTCCCCAGCCCTGCAGGAACATCGGGTACCTGAGTGCCATCCCAGGCTTGGTACTGCAGTGTCCCTGAGAGGATATAGTCACTCAGGTAGAAGACATAGAGGCTGATGATGAGTATTGGACTCACAAACGCCCACATGGCCTTCCAGTACCAGTTGAGGGAGCGGCAAGTCATGGCCTGAAGGTCACTTTCAAATCTGTTGGGAGCACAGAGAGAGACAGATTTATTCATGCTCTGGAGGGAGGGACTCTAGTTTGCATACCTTCTGCCCTTGGGAAGATGCTGTTCTGGTTTGATGTTTGAATGTGACCCCAACCCATCTGATCCTCTCTGGGGGAGCTATTGAGGTAAAGGGAAAAGGGCTGAGGCTGCCTGAGGATGACCAATGAAGAACTGGTCATGAGACATCATCTCCCCGGTGTTGGCCTTCAGAGGTCCCAGGTGTGGACCAGAGGTTAGTTCCCAGAGAAGGTGGGGGAGGGGGGTGCCAGCCCTCTCAGTCCACAGGGCTACGGTGAGATTCCCTCTGCCCTCCCACTCTGTCCATCAGTGATGGTTCCGAGTATACTCTACTGCCTCCTAGAGATGGTCACTATGTGCTTGGAAGGGCCTGGCCTTGGCATGGGAGAGCAGGCAGAGTTAGAGCAGGAACAAAGCTGCTAGGCTTAAACTCAAGACCACCCTCTGCCTTCTCATCGTGGATATATTCTATCATAATGGCTGAAAGTCTGGGAATGCTAAAGATAGCCCCTGAGACTGTGAGAAGTGGACTGAAATGTGGTGTGGGGCCCTAGATAAGGATTGGTTTGGGAAGAAACTACAATTTACATAGATGCTCTCACATGCCAGGCTCTGGTCATGTACCAGAGCAGATTAAGCCTCCAAGGTAGTAGTCAGAGATCCCTTATATACGGGGGTACCAGGGCTTAGTGTTGTCAGATAACTGCACAACATGGCAGAGTCAATATTTGACTCTTTCCAGGTTTTCTTCTGACTTCCTAAGGCTTTCCATGGTGCCTCTGAATTCATAGTAGCCCTTCCCACTGCCATACCATACAATATCAGCCACTGGGAGGCTCCCCTCAGGAGAGGATTAAGTGCTGGATTGGGAGCTACATGCATTTGTACTGTGGACCACAGAGACCCAATTTCAGAAAAAAAAAAAAAAAAAAAACCAAGTGCTATCAGGCTTCGAGGAGCGGGGAAGAGGACACTTCCCACATGATAGCTAGGACATGTGATCAGATGTGACATTATCTATCCTGGACATAGAGCCATCAGAGGCACAGGAGGGTTCTCATGATCCTGGCTGGGTGGCAAGATGTTGAAATTAAAAATGGGTCTCTGTGGTGCACATTACATGTGCATAAAGCACCTAGAACAACTTACCCAAGTGGAACCGAGTATTACCCTAGCAGGAGCACAGCTACACCCCTGCAGCCTTTCTGGAGTTGTCTTAGAAGCACATGGCCCCTAATTAGACCCTTCCACTGATTGTCTTGCCTTTCGCCACTCTCCCATGCCCCGCCTCCACTGCCTGGTGTCCTGATCTGAAATGGCCTCCTTGGGCAGGTAGCTGGAGATGACCTTGCTGTCCGTCAGAGGGGTGAGGATGGCCACTGTGTTTCCAAGCATGCTCCCAAAACCCATCATCAGCAGCATGAAGATGTAGAGAACTGACCAGAGCTGGGACACTTCCATGTTTTTAATGGCCCCAGTGTAGACGATGAAGGCCAGGCCCGTGCCCTGAACAGCCTGCTGATGATTAAAAGACACCAGATATACATGTGAGTCAGAGGGGACAAGAATGAAACACCATAGTTCGGATGTGGAATGTCTACCCTCCCTGTCTTGCTGCACTCTTCGAGGTGTGTAACTGTAACACCAAAAATAAAAACCCAGAGACAGATATTGGGGTTCAAGCTTCAAGCTGAGGTCAGAGAAGCAAAGCAGCTGAGCCACTAGGTCTTACATCTACCTCAGTCCAAAAGGGGGTGATCCTGTCTCCACAAGGACTCCAGCAAACCTCAGACTGCTGCCTATCCTCGGGGTGGCTAGAGATTAAATCTCACAATGCTGCCTGAGACACTGGATTCCTGTCTTTCATATGCCTCTCTAGAGCAGGGATTAAAGGCATGAGCTCTGTTAAATCTTTCAGACTGATTCACTCTAGTGTATCCCTGGGAGGTCTCTAACTCACAGAAATCCACCCAAAGGCATGTGGATACTGCCTGGCTAGCTAGTATGGTTTCTGTGATTAAAGGTATGTATCACCATTGCCTGACCTCTATAGCTTGTGGCTGGCTTTGCTTTCTGAATCCTCAGGCAAGCTTTGATAAGTCATAAGTAATATATCACCACATATAACTTTCAGAGCTGGGCTCTCACTGGAGAAAGTAGATCATTGGGTAAGTGTCTTGAGATTGTATAGCCCGCTGTCATTTCCTGTCTGTTCTTTGCTTCCTTGTCCATCAATAGTTAAAATCTTAGGCTCATGAGTCTATTGTCATGAATTGTACAATCCTTCTCCACCATGTTAGATTGTGCCTTTCAATCCAGAAATAAAATAAGTGCCTCACTCATGACCATGTTAGGTATTTGGTTATAGCAACACAATTTTGTATTGACTGATACAAAAATGAAATAAGCTAAATGGTATAAGCAAAGGGGGGAATAGTAGGCTTCAGGAGCAGATGAGGATAACATGACACTGAACATTTTAAGTGAATATTAGATATCACACAACAATTATTTCACTATTATTAGCAGGAGCCATCAATTCTAAACAATGTCAGTGTTAAAATACACCCTACTGGGGTACTCTGAACTCACTTTCCTGCCCATGACTACCACCGAAAGCACCACATTGTAGACAATTGGAATCAATGACTTAAAAAAATAGTGTTTTCAATGATTAACATAATTATTGGTTTAAAATGTCACTGTAATGTTAATATTGAATTAGACATGGTTGAAGAGAGAATTAGTGGGCAGGGAGTTATTTCTCAGTGTAATTCTGTTCAATAGAATGTAGTTTGACCTAAAGATGTCTTTGTACACTGTGAACCTTAAGCTAATCACATCAGCCAGCCTCTAAGAGCCAGGTAGCCAACTGCTTAAAACCAGGTTCAAAGAAAGCAAATATAAGTTTTACCCAATGAGCACTCTGTATACTTCTTTTCTATTTTCTTTTTAAAATTTTATTTTATATGAATTGGTGTTTTGCTCGCATGCATGTGGTGTTTGTGTGTGTGTGTGTGTGTGAGAGAGAGAGCGAGCTAGCGAGAGAGAGAGAGAGAGAGAGAGAGAGAGAGAGAGAGAGAGAGATCCTTTAGAGCTTGAGTTACAGGGTGCTGAGAATTGAACCCATGTCCTCTGGAAAAGCGGATAGTTTCCTGAACCACTGAGCCATCTCTCCAGCCCCCTCATTTCCACTTTCTATATTTAATTTTCTTTTCTTTTGATATCCTGCACATGTGAGGGTAGAACATTCTGAATTTCATTTTGCCCAGTATGTTTTCTAACTACAGAATCAAGCCAATTAAAATCTATGAAAGTGATTCTGTCTTACTTTTCTGTTGTGACAAAATGCCATGACCAAGGCCACAGAAAATAAAGTGTTTAATTTGGGGTGCATGGTTACAGAGGGTTAGAGTCCATGGCCATCATGGTGAGGACATGGCAGCTGGCAGGCAGGCATGGTGTTGGCCCATGAGCGCTTATATCCCTTTCTGCAAACAGGAACCAGAGGGAGCTATTTGGGAATGGCCTGGGCTTCTGAAACCTCAGGCCCACTGCCAGCATCAGAACTCCTCCAATGAGGCCACACTTCTTAATCCTTCCCAAAGAACTGTACCAAATGGGGGGCAAGTATTCAAACATATGCACATATGGGGGGCATTCTCATTCAAACTACCACACCCCACACCTTGTCTGCCATAGGCTTGTGGCCATATCATAATGCAAAATGACTTTCGTCCAACTCTAACAGTCCCCACAGTATTTCATGATGTGAACACTATTTTAAGTTTCTTCTGAGACCCAAGGCAACTTTTAATTATAACTCCTTGTAAAATCAAAAAGTAAATTATAAACTTCAATGTAAAACAGCATAGAATATACATTACCATTTCAAAAGGGAGGAATGGTAATATAGTTAGAAAATACTGGAGCAAGGCATGACAGAAATCCAGCGGGGCAATCTTCAAATCCTGTATCTCTAATCTATTTCTAATAGGCAAATGGAAATTCAGGAGGGCAAACTCCAAATCCTATAGCTCTAATCTGCTGCCAATGGGCTTAGATGGCTCTTCCCTTCAAGTTCCGCTGGCTACAACATGTGTCTTTCTCTCTTGATTTGGTCCCAAGCTTCTTGGTAAGTCTATGATTTTGACATTTCCAAGATCTTGAGGTCTCCAATGCAATCCAGGCTTCATTTTCATAAATTCACATATAGCTTCTCTAGTTTCCTTGAAGGGATTCCCATGCCAAACACCTCGCTTCAGAGGATTTTCTTAAGTGCGGAGGAAGATTCCACAACTCCTTTACTCCAGTATCATTCAGGGATCTAAAGCCAGAATGACCTGGCCAATGAAGCCAAGTTCAGCCATTTTGGTTGGAGCCTGTTCCCCTTCTTGAATTATATTTGCATAACATTTTCCCCCATTGCAGCTTTATAGAAATACAAAAGGCATTTCCTTTATGCAAGTTTTCGGGTTAGCTGGGTGGGGTCTTCACCCAAAGACAACACTCCCTTTATTCCATTTCACACTAGGCCTCTCCTTATCTCTTTCAGTACAGACATCAAATTTCTTGGTGCTTTTTCCCCTCCTCAAACTATACATTTTGTGTTTCTTTTTGCCCTGCTTATTATTTTTTATGGTAGCTCTGCATGAATGTGATTACTAATAACCATGCAACAGAGTTAATATTAGGCTGTTTTGAAATATCCTCTGCCTATAAAATTAGTCCAACTATTTCAATTTGCCCTCAGGCAGAAAGCATCCTCATTTTTTCCCCAAGCACCACAAGAATGGTTTCTAACACTGTCACTAATTTTGTTGCCCTCTGAAGTTTCTTGAGCTAAGCATCCATAACCCTCAATGATCTTAGCACTGTTGTCTCCAAGCTCTTACTAGGATGTCCATTCAGCCCTGCTTATAGCAGTCAACAGCTTTCCTAATCCAATTTCCCCAG